ACCTTTAAACAGGGTTCTTGCTAAGTCAATTTCCGGTGATAGAGCACCACAAAAGAAGCATCATGTAAATCATCATAAAGCAATTTTATTAAGATTTTTTCTCACTAAATTAGAAAATGTAATAGAAATAGAGAAAGTTATTTAAGGCCTTAGTTTCCTTCCATAGTAATGGGTATTCAGCTTTGAGAATTCTTTAAAAATTCAGTGGCATTAGCTGATCATTTCTACATAACATAAGTAGATCTATATGCACCAGAAAATGTAATATTGCATGTAACTAAAAATCACAAAACTTCATGACAATTATACGAACAAGTTATATTTGAGTATATGTATTATACCCGATATGGTGTACATGGGAATGGTGGGGTTACACACCCTACATGGTGTACAAACACTGTGCACACGTGGGTATTACTTAAATTAAAAGTCAGTGGACTATAGATAGTACAGCATCCACACTTAGTATATAGTTTTTAATAAATTATACATACAATCACGCAATATTATTTTCAGAACAAATATTTACCCCCTGGTAAACATAATTGTAAAACTGTCTACTAACTTTCAAGATTTACATCAGTATCTAAGTCAGAAAGGATACTGTTGATGCAATGAAGAATAGAAATACAAGAATTTATATTAATAATGCATTTTGAAAAGAAATGTTTATAAAAAATTCTACGACAGAAAAATTTCGACCTAGCATAACTAAGCCTCTACTTAAAAGTCCTTTGATAGAACATCTGATAAAACTATGACAAAACACAAATCTAAATCAGTAAAGACAACAGCAATTTATTCATGACTATTTGAATGTTACTATTGAAATAAAAAAATTGTAGGTGGATCTTTATCAGGCTGGTAACCAGTAACACTTATGAATGTTGGTGAAGAATTCCTATTGGCAGACATTTCAGATAAGTCTGTCAATTAACAGTGCAAGAAAAACCCAATTTATGCACTATTAATATTAAGGTAATTGATGTTTAAAGTCAGTGGACTATAGAGAGTACAGCATCCACGCTTTGCAAGTTTCATTGCTCAGTTAGAGTTTAATAAATCACATAAACTGTATAATACCACACAATATTATCTCGAGAACAAATATTAACCTCCTGGAATATTATTGTAAAACTGTCGACTAACTTCGTGAATACATTGAACAGAAATATTATTAATGATGTAAAAGGTACATGTACATTGTACATGTATATGTTAATGCATGAAAAATTCTACAACAGAAAAATTTTCCACCTAGTATAACTAAACGAAGTCATTTAATACAGTATCTTTTCCATATTTGCTGCTAAAAAAGTAACAAAAAACAAACCTAATGCCGGAAAGACAACAGCCATTTATTCATGACTATGTGGACAATACTATTAATATAACAAAATTAGTACGTGGATCTTTATCAGGCTGGTAACCAAAGTGTACATGTACCATTTACCAATGCTGGTGGAGAAATCATATTGACAGACAGTTAAAATAAATCTGTCAATTAAAAGTGCAAAAACAAACCCAAGTTATACACTATTAATACTAAATATGGCGTCATGTCTTCAAAGAATAACAAAATGTATTTTTATTTTGTAATGCGCAGTGAATTTTCAATTAACAAACTAAAAAAATAACAACTATATCTTGCTATAGCCATGGACAAAAAGTCTCGCAAAGCTCAAAAACTAAAACAATCATAATTGCACACTAATTCTTACAAATCAAAATTACATGAATCTATTAGAATATTGCCACAAGAGGTTTTGGAGTACAAATTTTTACATTGTGTACTTCAAACTACAGTAGAGGCCCCCTACATGTACATGTATGTCTGTCAGTACATGTATACAGTAATTAACTTATGCAACAAAATAACTTACGTGGTGAATGCATAAAACATGTATTGTTTCACAAGTATGCACTTTGAGTCAGAGATTGATTACACAATACAGATCTAATTTTTCACGTTAAAAATTATATATAGCATATTAATTATTAATTAGAATAACAATTTTTCTTACATTCCATCTTGATCCCAAATGATGTCCCATCTGTGAATCTGAGTCAATAGAGTAGCATAACAGAGATGAGATAGAGGGAACGAAGACGAAGGAAAGCAGGTGGCGGAGTCTGTCAGTGGTAATGTAGCCAATAGCATAGAGCCTGTTGTTGACATAATAGCAAATGTTAATATTAATGAACAAATTAACTATTATTAATAACTAACCATCATCTCTATCGTCAATCATGCCAGGAAGAATATTAGAAATAAATATATAAATAAACCAATAAATAAATGACTAGAAACAATGTAAAACATTAAAGGGCTGAGCCTTGTAAATTATTAACTGGAAAAAGCAGTATCTCTACATTATGTTGCTGCTACAAAACTCCTGACTTGTTCTTTACTTTAAGCCTGGCTACACTGACTTTAAAATAGCCATAAGATATAAAAAGGCTGGCCAGTTTAGTGCAGTCAGTGACAAAGGTGACATTTGTTTGATTTTTATAGTTTATCTCAATGAAAAGGAGTTTCATAGATACTTAATTGCACCTGTAGCCTTGTTTATTATTATTATTATAATAATTATTATTAGCTTACAGAGGTGGTAGTTCACATAAGTAACCCAATCCATTCATTGGCCACAGTAACACCACGTATGAGAGGAATGATCCATTAACCCATTTTGTTACTCCTGGCTCACAAGGATGAATTACACTACTATCATATATATACATGTACACAAAGTATGTTATACAGTTATATCAATTAAAGACGAAAAATTAATTAATAATCAGAAAAGGACAAATTGTATACATGTACATGAACATTGTACATCATGTAAATGCAAATTTCAGGAATTCAAAATTCAAAAGTAGTAAAATTACATACCGTACATTTGAAATGAAGAACTACACATCCTGTAGGCACATGTACATGTACATAGGCATCAAGCAGGCTTATATAATTATTTAAGTGTGGTCAAATGCTTAAATAGTAGTACAATACAGTACTCGTACTCATACTTCATACAATTTGGAAAAATGAGGAACTTGTATTAGTACTCATTTAAAAATTTGAACAGGTAATTGTAATGTACTTAAATACTTCTTAGACTACATGTACTGCGCCCCAAGCCCGGTAGCAAGTAGTAAATTTAGGCAAATAAAATTTTAACAAATTATTCCTATAAACCAAAACCTTACCTTAAGATGTTGGCATGGTAAGACATTTGTAAAATATTATTAATTTTCGAAACTTAATTTTTAAAAAGCAATTTGCCCAAATTATCTGTTCCAAA